ACACACACACACGTATATATAAAACTTATGGAATTTGATACAGTATGGAAACTTATTCTATAAGTTTTAAATAAATGTTCTGTGTTTACATTGTCTTTTCCTTGTCAGTAATGTAATTTGAGCAAAATCTCTAGGCTGTTTTGAATTGAAAAATTGGTTTCTGAATTGAAAATAATTTCAGAATCAAATTGAATCACTAGACACTGAAAGACTCGCATCTTTAAATGTCACACCTAGAGTTAAAAACCGATGAATTAATTGTTCTTTCCCTAGCTTCCAAACTACAAGAACTTCAGAGGCACGATCGAGCAGGTGATGGATAACCAGTACATGAACAGTGGAGAGGTGGCCATCATTGATTCCACCACCATTGAGATCTCTGAGTTGCCTGTCAAAACCTGGACCCAGGTCAGTCGTTTTAAGCCCAGACACGTTAAAGACCCGCTTAGTGGAAGTGTTCTTTCCTCGGAATGTCGAGTTTGTTTTACTGAAGTTTGTGCATCATGCGTTAGGCCTACAAGGAGAACGTTCTGGAGCCGATGTTGAACGGAACAGAGAAGGTTCCTCCTCTGATCACCAACTATAAGGACTATCACACCGACACCACGGTCCGCTTCGTCATCAAGATGTCTGAGGAGAAGCTGAGGGAGGCGGAGGCTGCCGGCCTCCACAAAGTCTTCAAGCTGCAGAGCCCGCTCACCTGCAACTCCATGGTAACGGCTGCAGCTTAGGGTCACGCACCCACAACACATGACTACGAACACAAATACTTAAATCAATTTTGCATATATGACCCATTTTAGGTTCTGTTTGACCATGTGGGCAGCTTGAAGAAGTACGAGTCTGTTCAGGATATCCTCAAAGACTTTTTTGAGTTGAGGATGAAATACTATGTCTTGAGGAAGGACTGGTTGGCCGGGATGCTCGGAGCAGAAAGCGCCAAACTGTCAAACCAGGCCCGTTTCATCCTGGAGAAAATTCAGGGCACCTTGGTCATTGGTAAGTTGCACATTTGACCTTTACAGTGGCAGCATTATGTAAAAATGGACTCTTTTGAGCTTTACACAATGTTATGTTGTTCTTGCATCAAAAACATCTGACTTTTAAATATAAATTCTTACTTTGTGCCAGTAGAAGTCCAAACAGATGTGAAGGATGATCAATACAATTGATTTTTTACAAGAAAACAAATGACTAAAAACAGAGATGCAAGGTTTTAATTATTTGTATTTCAGTTAACAGTAAAAAAAAGTTTTAGCAGGTTATTAGTAATTCTCCTTTTAACTTCAGGGTGACGCTCTCAAAATATCTTAAATTCATGTACCTTATATTATTATTAAAGGCCTTAAAATGTCTTAAATTCAGTTAACAAGCTGACCTTAAATTAATAAATCTCAGGTCTTAAATTTTGTTGTGGCAGAACTATTTAGTCTCATTCTAATGTAGATTTTCTTTCTTGTGGAACTTTAACATTACGCAAAACTTTGAATGATGCGCAGACAACATTGCCTTCTGTGACTCAAGGCAGTTTCAGCTAACAGTAACTAGCTGCTAATATACTAATATGCTTGCTAGCTACTTGGCTTTTTTCATTCATTATGGAAAAGTGCAAATTTAACATCAGTTGACTGGACGATGTTCGTCTTCCCATTGGTTCACTTCTGTTGCCAACCCATGCTATTTATTTATTTGTGATTTTCTTTTGTACATTTCTGCTGTGTTACAGGTCTTAAATTCCATTCATAACAGCTTCAAGACATTTTACATTTCAGTTGGTGAACCCTGAACTCATTCTGATTCCCTCTCATCTTGTAGAAAACAAGCCTAAAAAGGAGCTGATTCGCATGCTTCAGAAAATGGGCTACGACTCGGACCCAGTTAAAGCTTGGAAACAGGCTCAGGAAAAGGTAGGACCCTTTCTAAAGAAATATTTAGCTGACGCAACAAGACCGTCAAACCTACACTGTATGATCTTTATTCTGTTTGGGGTTTTTTAGAATGAGGAGTTGGAGGACGAAGAGGAGGAAGGAGCAGAAAAAGAGGATGACAGTGGACCAGACTACAACTACCTGCTGAGCATGCCCATGTGGTTCCTCACCAAGGAGAAGAAGGAGGAGCTGTGCCGACAGAGGGATGCTAAGGTGACTACATTACTACGCTCATTAACATGGGTGTCCCACACGGCTGGGTTCATGGACCATTGCTGTTTGCAGACAGCCAGTATGCAGTGATGTGGACATGATGTGACCAGTGTAGCTGCTAAATTAACTTGTCATGGTAAACATATTTGGACTCAATAGCCAGTTTTTGAAGGACAGTTTTGTTTAGAGATCTCGTTCATTTTATTTGTTGTTTCTGTTGTCTTTATTTAATTATTTTGGATATTTAAAATGTCTTCCAGTTCCAGTGTTAAATGTTCCTTAGAGTTTAAAGTTTACTGATCTTTGAAAACATCTTCTTCCATTACCATTACATTACTTGAAAATACTCTCAAAACAACAGTATTATAGTTTACTCCAGTAACCTCTGGGACAATTTATCATCCAACAAAATTTTTACTGACAGACCTATTTATATTGTTACAATCTTATGACAACACAGTGATTGTATATAGATTTCAATATGTTTTGATATTCGACTGTTTTACGGACTACAAATGGAAACTAGCTTCAGCTAAATCTGGTGCAAAACAAAGTGTTTTCAGCACAGTGTCCCTGTTTTAAATAAACTTAAAAAAAGCTAAAACTTTGATCTTCATGATATAATCCTGTAAAAACTGACTGAAACCTAGAAGACTATATTGGTTGGTTTAGCTAAGTTTACATTGTATCCCACACAGATGACTGAGCTGAACACCCTGAAGAAAAAGAGCCCAGAAGACCTGTGGAGGGAGGACCTGGCTGCGTTCTCAGAGGAGCTGGAGGTATTTCTGCCTGCTCCTTCACATGAATAGTTTTCAGTTTGGTTTAGTAACTCTGGTTTTACTCGTTGCTTAGCGCATTGAGGCCAAAGAGAAGGAGAGCGACGGCATCCCAGTGAAGGGGGCCGGCAAAGGCAAAGCTGTGAAGGTGAAGAAGGAGACGCTGCCCACACCGCAGGGCCGGCGGGTCGTTCCCCGCATCACCAGCACGATGAAGGCTGAGGCCAACAGGAAGGCTGACCTGAAGAAAGGAGAGGGCAGGAGAGGCAGGAAAGTCAAGGTTAGCCACTGCTGGACTGCTGCTACATGCTCTGGTGGTTATTACAGCTGCTGGAGTCCAACTCATTTCGTTCTTCCTTCGTCTTGGTGACAGACTGAAGATGTGGTAATGCAGATGGAATTTGATGAGGAGGTGGAGAACGTGGAGCCAGAGGAAATGGGCTTGGCGTCACGGCTGGCCAAGAAAGCCAAACCAGAGCCCAAACAGAGAGGTGAGGAGAACTCTGTTCACTTTACAAGCAGAGATCCACTGAACCAGCTTTCTTAGAGGTCTCACTTGTTGCTTCCATTTTTGAACATGTAATTAAACGTATATTAGTTGACTTTATCAAAGTAGTATGTTTAATTTCAACTTAAACAAAAATCTTGATATTTGCACACATATTGAATTCATTAAACTATAGCTGGACAATAAATCAACAATATATATCATGATACAGGTCACGGTATATATTGTGAAATGGAAAAAATGTATTGAATTCATGAAAGGCTGAATATGATGCAAAGTCTTAGTTTTGACTCCTTTAGTTGACAGGATACTTGACATTTTGACCTGATTGAACATATGGAGCTTAGAAAAAACTAAATAACCCTGATGATCTATGGTTCATCTATTTTCACATCTGTTTATCAATATATATGCAATTTAACGCTGTGCAATAAAATATCAAAACAGATATAACATATTACAAGTAGATTTCAACACAATGTGTGCCAGTTCTCATTTTAACCATATTCAGTGTTTTCTAAAGGGTGAAACTAGAGAGAGAAAAATACCAGGATCATTTGTAAAGTTCCCAAACATTTGGTGTTGAGAGCAAACCAATGATTTTGTTGAATTTTCTTTTTTATACTGTAACCATGGATAGATACATCTCTGAGAACTCCAACCTTCTGTTTATAAGTTAATCAGACATGTTTATAAATAACAACTTCCATGGTAATTACTGGGATATGTAGTTGTGGCTACATCGTCTTATTATGACAGTTTCATTCTTCAACAAGGTTCCCAGAGCATTTAGGAGAAAAAAACAGCATCAAATCATGCTTGGGAGGTTTTTTTATTATTATTTAAAGGAATAAATGGGTTGCAGTCGACCCACAAATGTTACTCCTCTCTTTCATCTTGTGATATAGCAACAAACTTGTAAGTGTTGTGGAACTGGTGATCCAGGACTGTTGAAATATGATCCTCCAGTGTGTGACCTGATAAATACTCTGCTCAGTAAAATCACATGCTGATGAAACTAGTCAGCCCCATTCAGACCTGCCACTAACAGTTGTCTCCAGGCACCAACACACTCACAAAGTACTGAAAACAGTTTTCTTCGTATATGAAGTTATAAAATAAAACTTCTAAAGAAAATGAACTCAACAAGCTACTCTGATGAATCTCAGCTATGTTGATCTGTGGAATAATAACAAAGCTCAAATGATTTAAAGTGTCTGCAGGGCTCCAGGAACTTTTGTTTATGTTGTGTTGATTGTCTCTGTGAAGTGGCTGTGTGTGTTTGCATGTTAATCAGACAGCTGAGATCTGGTTACCCTGGAGGATTCTGGGTGTCAAGTTTGAATTGTAGTTGAACTTCCAATGGGATCAGCAACATGCACATGTTTATATTAATTGGATCAAAGCTCACAGTTCTAATAAAGTTTATCAGCAACCAGTTGGAAATACAATGTCATCTGTTCAGGGTGAAAAGAAATTGGTCAGTATTATGTAAAATTGATTTATCTTTGCTTGTAATGTAATTCCCTCGTCCAAAACGCATACCTATAGAGGTGCATGTTTGAGAAATCCTTTCATCTCCATGGCAACTATTTAAATGTTCAAATGTCTGGGTGGACCTTATTCTGCCTTCGAGGAGAACTTCCTCCTCAGAGCAGCCGTTTTCAAGCATCTGCCTCACACAGCAACCTTTCCCTGTTTGTCCCTCACTCAGCTCCTTCAGACTAGCCAGCAGCGATTAGCAAACACCTGGTGGAACGCTGCATTTGCTGAGCTCGTTATAGGAGCTGCTTCTCAGAGCAACAGATAAAAACCATTAAAGGTTTAATAGAGGAGCCATGGTGTGATGACTTCCTGAAGGCGGAGTTTCAGAAAGAGCAGGAGCTTCTTAAAGAGACAGAGACACAATTTCAACGTGTTAAGTTACAAAGACAACTTTCTTTTGTCATATTTGATATATAAAGTATTTGTTTTATAACACCTGAAGTTGACACAGCTACTTAATTGTGCTGTAAAATGGCGCCTGGAAAATGCATAGTTATAATAATAAACTTTATTGTCATTATAGAAACCATGCAATAAAATTACATGGATTATAACAAAGTACTGTCCTTTAAAGGATTGGTTTGGGGTGGGTTTTTTTTTTTGTTCTTTTGTTGTTGTTTTTTCACCCCACTTCCTACTGAAGAAATTCAAAGCTAGATTTTCTTTTTTTTCAGGTTTTAGGTTTATTTTAAGGCTTTCACATCTTGGACCAGGAATACTTACAGATGCCTGTTTCTTGAGGAAACGTGTCATCACACCTGTTCTGTTGATCACTTTGTCTTGAGCCCTTTGTTTTTATTTGCATGTAAAGCAGGTAGCTGTGACATGTCATCCAGTTATAATGCCTGGTTTTATCTTTCTTATTGAGGTGTACTTTAAGTAGAGTTGCACAATATGCTCATTAAAGCTGTTTCCTAACAGCTCCTTACTGTGATGAGCACTTTTGCTGTTACAGAAGTGCCCTGAAGGACGGTTACGCAAAAACCATTTGAAGCTATGGCTGCGCTTGAAGGGTTATTCTGAACCCACAGAACTAGTTATCTTAAGGAACTATTGTTTAGTCGGTTCTTATGTTGTTACATCACTACTTGCGCAACTTAAACCAAAAACTGAACCTACAGACTTCCTGTGTGGACCACAGATCAACATCAGAAATGCTTTGTAAATGTCTCCTGACCAAAACCTAACAGCAAACATTTCCAAAGGTAAAAAGTAACAAGTAAAACTTTAAATGGCTCACTATGAATACGCTTTCATATGCAAACAAAAACTGAGAACACGAGGAAATGATTGATCATATTACTTCTGGCGCAGGGATACGTGATGCAACACTTGCCTGTTTTCTTTTAACTACATCTATATGTAAATGCTGTCAGGTGTTTATTAAAATGTAAAACAAATCTTCTTCCAGCCACATCAAAGGATGTTAAGCAGACCACTCTTCAGTTCAAGCCCGTCGCCAAGAAGTCAAAGAAGAATCCGTGGTCGGATGATGAGTCTGAAGGCTCGTCAGGAAGTGACATGGAGGCAGAGGAAGCGGCGGCCCCCAGGGAGCGCATAGAACGCAAAACTAAAGGTGAATCTGCTTCATTATGTTTCCCAGCATCCCTCACTGAGAGCTTAGCCCCTCTAGATCCCAATCGCCCCAAGTATGTAGTCAGTGTTCACTCTTATCTCCAACCGCCTGCAGCAGAGGCTGTTCCTCACCTTAACAGTCATTTCTTAATCTTGTTTAGAATATTTCTGTAAATGAGTGCGTTTCTAAACTCTCCCCCTCCTCTGTTACGTAAACGCTCCAGCCCCGGTGAAGTACAGCCTGTCGGACAGCGAAGATGAATTTGATGACTGGGGAAAGAAGAGTTCTCCAAAGAGGAAGTCTGTTATCAGTGATGAGGATTCGAGCTTCGCCCTGGGGCCCAGCACCGCGTCGGACAGCGACGTCGACTCCCCGCTGCCCCCTCCCAAAGCTCCAGAGCCAGCGTATGCAGGAAGAACCAGCTGAAACTTTCACACACACAGTTTTAGCCCTGCTATCTCACCTGCAGTCTTGTCTCTCTTTTTTCCTTTTTTTTATGTTTAGGAAGAAGACGGTAAAGAGCAAAACGACGGTTAAAAAGACAGAAACCAAGTCATCTGGTAAGAACTTGTTGGCTACTTTTGGCTGGTGTTGAGCTAAAGATGTGAAGGTGAATCATTTCATCCTGGTTGGGTTTCAGTTTCCTCTGATGATGCGGCTCCAGCATCCAAACCTCCAGCTCAACGGAAACCCAAAGAGACGGCAGCCAAAAAAGCTCCAGCCAAGAAACCCACTGCCTCCAAGAAGAAGGCATCAGGTACAGCAGAGAACGCTCAGTTCATACATCCACCATTATGTCACTATAGATACAAGTTATTGATTAATGACTATTGTTTGCATTCCTTACTCTCACCTATTGAACTTCTTTACATTTTGTCACATTACAACCACCAAATCCTTTTTTTTTTTTACTGGGATTTTATGCAGTGAACTGTATAAATTCGGAAATTGAGTCCTCATCCGTTGATCAGTTTAAATATCACAATTCCCTTTTTTCCCCCCAGATGAAAAGCAGCCTTCTATTCTAGATGCTCTCTCCAAACCCAAAGTTTCCTCCAAAACTGCTCCCAAAAAGATTCCCACGTTTGGCTCCAGCGACTCGGAGGATGAAGGGACCGTTCCAGCAAAAAAGCAAAGCAAAGCCGCTGTGAAGCGGAAGCAGGTGATCAGCGACGAGTCGGACAGCAGCTCAGACGACCTCATGTCGCGTCTCAAGGCTAAACCTCAGGCTGCCGTGAAGGTTGGTGTCTTAACAAAAAGCTCTTGATTTCTACTTCAACTCATTATTGCAAAAAGTTAACCATCTAAATATTTTTTTGTAGAAATCAAAGAAGTGGATGGAAGATGACATGTTCCAGTTTTCAGACCAAGAAGAGGCTGCTCTTGTTGCCGTGGCACCTCGGGATAAACCCTCACGTGCTCGGAAACCCGTCACCTACAACATGGACTCAGACTCTGATGAAGACTTTTAAACGTTTTTAAGATTTATTTTGATATAACGCACGGCTTAGGTAAATATTTCATGCTTTTGCGCACTGCTTGAGAAACTCAGATCTCACCTCTAAGTGACTGTAGTTTATAGAGTTAAAAGTTCTTCTAGATGTTTTTTTTCTGCAGAATTTCTAGTTTTGAAGTTACTAAAATTGTTCGACTCTTTTCCAATTTGTGCTGTTATGTCTTGTAAATATTTCAGTGGTTACTCATAATTGTTGTAAAATAAAAAAAGTTTGTACTGAGTTTTGAAATCACGTGTGAGGACTTTGTGTTTGAGCTGCAAATCTGGTTCCCAGCAGTGAGAGAGGGCGGGGCTTAAGTTACAAACGGTTAGAAACCAATTACAGGAAAAATGAACCTTTCATGAGAGCGAGAGGCTTTGGTATTGAGAGATTCTGACAGGATTAAGCCCTTCAGTTTGGAAATATCAAGATATTATTTCCAAGCTGAAAAATGTCAAACATGTATAACATGATCTAATTCCCAGGGCTCTTATGCGGTCTGGGGAAGAGTAAAAACTGAAAATTTTCACGTATGGAAGAATTAAATCTGAATGTAGGGGAAAAAACGTTCATTTTTAGATAATTTTTACAAATGCACTTTAATTTGAATATAAAATAATTCAATATTTTCTGTCACATCTCAGAAAGAGAAGCTTCTATATAGATTCCTTACACAAAATAATTCAAGCTTTCTTGTAGTTTTGATGACTGGCTGACAGATTATGAAAACCCAAATTAAAATATTGTGAAGAGGTTGAATAAAGACAGTTAATTGTATCTCTCTCTAATCAGCTAATTAGCTCAAAAGAACTGCAGAGGTTTCCTGAGTGCCAGACCAACCTTCTCTTGTTTTAGGTCTGTTAGAATGATCACAATTAGGTCTGTTTCATATGTCAAACATTTTTCAGAGATTTTTTTTTTTTCACCAAAATCTTACAGTTTTCAGGTAATTATTCCCAAAACTGACCAAATATATGTAAACTTCTGAATTCAGCAAAAACAACTACAAAAAAAAAGTCTAAAGATGTTCTCGTTAAGTTTTACAAACAATTTTGGCAATTTTAACTGACCTAAAACAGAAGAATTTTGGTCTGATTTAGTTTCAAAGCAGTAAGAAAAAAATGTTGATTTGGTGCCGGTAGATATTTAGTTTCATTCATTTCTATTGTAAATATCAAAAATAATCCATCAAATCTGATATAAAAATTCAGATCAATATGAATCTGATTATACATAACAATTTACATGTATGAAATGAATAGATTTGGATAGATAGATTGGTTCTGGTAACTGTTGAACACAGCAATTGCTGAAATCAAAGTGTTCTGTATTCACTAAGTGATTTCTGGTTCAGAAGCCTTTGTCACTGAGCACAACAAACCGTGAACTTTTAACCACCAGCTGTAAATATTTTTGCGATTCATTGTCGTGCTTGTATTTTCCAGCTGTTTCTATAATTAATTTTATTTAAGATTCTCCCACTGTACGTCATGTGTTTTCATGCTATCCCCTTGTGATCAGGGAAACTGGTGGTACAACATGAAACAAATCCTTCCTGCCATTTAGGAAGCGCTTTGAAATGTTCATCAAGAGTTGCCTTTCTTGGATAAACATCGTCTCTTGCCTGGGACTCTGAATGCAGATTAGGGCGTAGAAGGAATTTCCTTAAAACTGTTGCCGCCCGCTCAATTAAAAGTCATGACAAACCTCATACTCGAGCCATTTGGAGAGACTGGCCGAAGCCTGGGCTGTGCGGCATTAGCGACCGGCATGCTTTTGTAATGCCTTCGGGTTTATCCCGCAATCTTTAAGCCTTTGAGGCACCTTGGAGGAAATCTTTCATGTCAAAACAAGTATGTGGACAGATCAGACCGGACCTGTTTTATTGTCTTGTAGCTCGTAGGAGGTACTGTATATGACATGGCATTTCATCTCTACAGGCAGTCGGTGTGTTTTAGAAGCAGCAGGTGGTTGAGGACTACATCATTTTTAAGAGAAGATTCAGATTTGAAGAGGAAATACATAGATTTTCTTTTGTTTATTTGTTTCTTGGCAGAAAAGAAGTGGACAAAGGGAAACTGTAAGTAATGTCATAATGGGTTCAATTTTAATTTGAGATTAAATTTGAGCAAAATTACTATTGGATTTTGAGTCTGTAACAATCTCATAATCACAGTAAATCAAAGTAATAAACAGGAAGTTGACTGAAAGCTAATCTTTATTATCTTATATCTGTGAATTGTACATTTTCTAATCTATGGTTTTGTTTTTGGCTTCAGATCAATTAAGAACAACACAATGAACCCTGAAGTAACCTTTGAACCACACCTTCAGTCCTGAGCAGGATATATTAGTGTTCCCTTCAGTTTCTTTTTAAATCAGAGACACTTTTCACTGTGAGGCACAGATCTCTGACCACTGCAGCCATGGGTGAATGGGGGTTCCTCGAGAGTGTCTTCGAAGGCCTCCAGGCCCACTCTCCGATGCTTGGACGTTTCTGGCTCTTCCTCATGCTCGTGTTTCGGATCGTGATCCTGGGGACTGTGGCCAGCGACCTGTTTGAGGACGAACAATTGGAGTTTTCCTGCAACACCCTCCAGCCGGGCTGTAAGCAGGTTTGCTACGACAAGGCGTTTCCCATCTCCCAGTACAGATTTTGGGTGTTTCACATAGTTCTGATTGCTACGCCGTCCTTAGTTTTCGTCATGTACGCCACACATCATAATAACAAAAAAGCCAAGCGGCCCAAGTCGAAGCGCAGCATCATTCAGAACTACATAGACAATCGCCGTTTGAGGAGGCTGTACATCGTAAACGTCATGTTTCGAATTGCAGCGGAGGTGGGCTTCTTGGTGGGACAATGCAAGCTGTACAGCTTCGAGGTGCCAGCCCAGTACCCCTGCGATCGCTTTCCCTGCCCCTACACCGTTGACTGCTTCACCTCCCGCCCTATGGAGAAAACGATCTTCCTCTACTTCTACTTTGGCGTGGGGGTCCTATCTGCCTTTTCTAGCATTGTGGAGCTGTTGTACAGCTCTATAAAGTGGTTCTGCTGCGACCAGGAAAACTTTGATCTGGATGAAAGCACTTCCGAGAATCTCCAGAACTTAAGGCAAGATGAGTCTGGCAAGAAGACGACGTCAGACAATGTATCCAGCAGCATGGAGTTAAAGAAAGGATCGGTGAGGAGCAGCAAGACGATCTCCACCAAGGGCAAGAGAAGCAAATATGTGAGCACCAGGACGTGCGTGGTTTGACAGGCCGCCACCATTTCCTGCTCAAAAAATTATGTTATTTTGGGGGAGGGGGCGGGGGGGGTAATGGTATACGTCATTTCATCTTAAAATGCCATGTATGTATGTGTGACAGTTTCCCTGATGGGAGACATAATAAGGAAGCTCTTGAAGCAAGGTCAGGAAATGTGTGTAAAGATGAGGCCTGGTTGACCTGCTGGGATCTTGAGTCACGTCAGACTGTAAACACTTGAGAGAGGGAAAAAATCTGACAGCAAACTCGTTAGACCTGTTTAACGCTTTCTTGGTTCCTGCAGAGCTCACTCTGACACTCCCATTTTAGTGAAAAAATCCACCCTCAAGTGTGCTTTTATGAAGTGTTTCTATATATCACTGAAAGTGTCTGAAATGAAACGTTTTCCAAGCCAAAATAGAAAGAAAACATTGACATCAGAAAAAATATGCTTATGTTATTTTGTTTTTTAATGAGTTAGCTGCTCAGCTTAGGTTTTGCTAAATTTGAGCCAACTCAAAAGCAATGCTGCATTTGAATTTTTATGAAGGTTTTCTACTTACTGACAAGTTAGTTTTTTTTTTTTTTTTTTTTTTTTTTTTTTTTTTTACATTTGTAAGTGTGTTGGTCATGTGTAAGGCAGCAACTTCTGAAGTAGAATTTTTCAGTTTGCTACTTGGAAGTAAAAGTTAAAAATGTAGTTTACGTCTGCTACTGGCATAAATTTGTTTGGAGTGGTTGGAATTTGAAAAAAGACCATTTTATTTATTTTGAATTTTATAGAACACTATTATTGTCTACATTATACTTTAAATCCATAATAAACATTAATGTAATTTGTTTTGGAAATGAGGCATCAATTTTAGACCAAAGTAAAATACCAAATGTGAGCAACACAAATTATTCAATATTTTAGCTGATTTCTTTTTCCAACTGGTTCATACACATTTTTATATCATTGGTGGGTCATCATGGCCTGCATGCCGTATCAGAATGCCCACCATTTACAACCTAACTTATTTTTTGTTCAATTAAATTGTATTAATTTACTTCCACGAGTCTATTCTCTTTTTTTTTCTATAACGTCTCTCTTTGCTGAGCTGCTTCCTGTATGTCTGTGTGGATCGTCGGTATTCCGTCCAATCAGATTTCAGTGTCAATGTGTTGCTGACGGAGCCCACGGTCGTAAATAGAAAAATTGTGTGATATTGCTAATTTGAACGTCAGCTTCCGTATTCGGGGAAAAGCGGCTCGGTCGCTTCCGGTCTATTGAAAATGACATTTTACACTAGGTGCTTGCAGGGCTTGGCCTAGGTAACAATTAATGATGTACATTGATCCGAAGCCCCAACAAGTACGTTTTAAGATGTACGCCTGGTAATACATTCACAGATACGAAGGTGAGTTTGACTTTCTTTAAACTTTGTGACTAACTTTAGCTTATGCTAGTAGGCAATATTCTCGGACATTTTTCTTGTAAAAATGTGCTATTTAAATATCTAAACATTTTAATTCATTCTAACAGATGATGTCTTTTCCTTATTTTGTTCTAATTTTCAAGTATATTATGTGTGTTTATTGTTGTTAGTGTCAAACAGAGGCTAGGTAATGAGGGAGATTACAGTTCGGACTTTTTGCTTCCGAAGCATGACGAAGCACAACAAGCTCCATAACTTAACAGTAGCGCAGCTCTGGTGTCAGAGATATGGTTTAGCTGACTGTTCAGGTTCAGAGTTGTTGCTTTTAGAAAAATATTACCGTGTTGCTTAATGTCTCCATGTTATTTCGTTTTATTACCTTTGCATGTTTCTTGTGAAGAGCTCAGATAGGACGGTGTTTACAGCAGTATGTACAGGCGGATCAGTTGCTCGGCTGTCTGGCTCTGGTCTGCTCACTAGTTCCCATACACTCGCTCTTTCAGGCTGAAGGGACGGCTCCTTTATTTACCATCCGTCTCCCCCAGTAGTTTTAGGCTGAAGAAGCTGATCCGGAGTGAAGTGAAGGCTGCAAATTTTTCTGCACGACGTTAGCTGTAACTGGTAGCGACAAATATTTTCAAGCCACCGTCTCCTTAATTCAGGATGTCTGGAAATCCATGAAAACTTAAAAGCCCATTGCTTTATTTGCTTCTAAAATACGACTTTGTCTTTTCCAGCTGTGATGGTAAGTCAAAGCGGAAGCAGGGCAGCCACATTTCGCTCATGCGGATGTGACGTCACTGCTGTATGTGCAAAGAGCCCAATATCTTAAAAGAAATTTTGACTAGTCAAAATTATAATTCTAGATATTGCTGATTTACAAACCGGATTCCAAAAAAGTTGGGACACTAAGCAAATTGTGAATAAAAACTGAATGCAATGATGTGGAGATGGCAAATGTCAATATTTTATTCAGAATAGGGCATAGATGGCAGATCAAAAGTTTAATCTGAGTAAATGTAAAATTTTAAAGGAAAAATATGTTGATTCAAAATTTCACAGTGTCTACAAAAAGTTGGGACAAGTAGCAATAAGTGGCTGGAAAAAGGAAATTGAACATATAACAAACAGCTTGGAAACAAATTAACACTAATTAGATCAAATTGACAACATGATTGGGTATAAAAAGAACTTCTTAGAGTGTCAGTGTCTCTCTGAAGCCAAGATGGTAAGAGGATCACCGATTCCACCTTTGTTGCGCAGAAAGATGGACCAGAATGGTGTTATCCAGCGTAAAACAGCAAAGACTTTTAAGTTATCATCATCAACCATGCATAACATCATCAAAAGATTCAGAGAATTTGGCACAATCGCTGTGCGTAAGGGTCAAGGCCGTAAAACTCTACTGGATGCTCGTGATCTCCGGGCCCTTAAACGTCACTGCACCTCAAACAGGAATGCCACTGTCAAGGAAATAACAGCATGGGCTCAGGAATACTTCCAGAAAGCATCTTCAGTGAACAAAATCCACTGTTCCATCCGCCGCTGCCAGCTGAAACTCTACAGAGCAAAGAGGAAGCCATTTCTAAGCAGCTCCACAAGCTCAGCCGTTTGCACTGGTCCAGGAGTCATTTAAAATGGAGTGAGGCAAAATGGACGACTGTTCTGTGATCAGATGAGTTGCGATTTGAAGTTCTTTATGGAACACTGGGACGCCATGTCATCCGGACCAGAGAGGACAAGGATAACCCAAGTTGTTATCAACGCTCCGTTCAGAAGCCTGCATCACTGATGGTATGGGGTTGCATGAGTGCTTGTGGCCTGGGCAGCTTGCATGTCTGGAAAGGCACCATTAATGCAGAGAACTATGTTCAGGTTCTAGAACAACATATGCTCCCATCTAGACGTCATCTCTCAGGGAAGACCCTGCATTTTTCACAAAGATAATGCCAGACCACATTCTGCGACAATCACAACATCATGGCTACGTAGGAGAAGGATCCGGGTACTGACATGGCCACCCTGCAGTCCAGATCTCTCACCTATAGAGAACATTTGGCGCATCATAAAGAGGAAGGTGCGACAAAGAAGGCCCAAGACGATTGAACAGTTAGAGGCCTGTATTAGACATGAATGGGAGAGCATTCCTATTTCTAAACTTGAGAAACTGGTCTCCTCTGTCCCCAGACATCTGTTGAGTGTTGTAAGGGGAGATGCCCGCAGTGGTAAAAATGGCCTTGTCCCAACTTTTTTGGGATTTGTAGACACGTCATGAAAGTTTGAAACAACATATTTTTCCCTTAAAATGATAAATTCTCTCAGTTTAAACTTTTGATCTGTGATTTGTGTTCTATTGTGAATAAAATGTTAGATGTTGGCACCTCCACGTCATTGCATTCAGTTTTCATTCACAATTTGTTTAGTGTCCCAACTTATATCTCAAATCTAGATTTGCACTACTCGAATCTATTTAACTGCTATCTGAAAATACATTTAAGATATCTTTAGTCATAATTATAACTAGTCAAAACTATACAGGAGATATGTTGAATTCACTTTGACTAGACATAATTTAATTGTATAGGTCTGAAATATGTGTTTCAGATCATCAGCTCCATGCAACTCAATTGTAAATCTGACATAATTTCTTCTAGTCAGGGTGTAATTAGAGATATCTCAAATTGGTATGTTGTCTAGTCAAAATATCTCTAGAGAAATCTTAATTTAAACATGCCTCTTAGTCAAAATCCGATTTCAGATATTTGGAATGTAAGTGCGGTAAAACTAAATTTGTGTGAAAACGGCTTGCCATACTACGTTCAGCAAGTGATGTAGCAGAGAAATGGTTCTTTTAATTAACCTATCAGCTATCAGATTTGCTGATTACAGATTTTTTTCTCTGATTATTTTTCTGATAATCTGATTACAGATTTACAACGCCTGCTCAAAGGCATACAGTGGCGTCACGTTTTCCGCTCTGTGATTGGATGGTCAGGGTGAACCTCTCACCCCAAAGTTTTGCTAGCAAAACACATTGCCAGCAATCTGTGCTGCTCATGTTAATATGTGAATTTATTTTTGTTTTCTAAACAACGGCTAACACAGATGGAGAAACTGATCTGGTCTCAGAAAAAAAAAAGTTTTCATGGCAGACTTTTTCGAAACAACTAGACATTGTGAAGACCAGGGAGTCTCACCTGTGAGCGGTATCACTACAAAGCCTCTACAGCAATGCAGATTAAATGGCTGGGATTTTCCAAGAGTGCAACGAAGAACAGGCCATAGAGAAGGACTGGCTGATTGTACTGAAACAACATCAGATCTCTGACTTCACTGAAGTTTTTCTGTGTAAAGAGAGGAAGATAGATTATGTCTATAAGGAAATAATCAGTGATTGAGAGAGTATTATGGGCTTTATTTATTTATTTTTGGCACAGTTGACTGTAGTGTAGAAGTTTGGAGTTGTCCTATTTGGACTTCTTCTTTGAATAACAATAGTGTTCACTCTCAACTGCTCATAATTAATTGTTAGGCTAGTTGAAAAACAATGCTGCGTAAATTATGAAGGATTCCCCACCTTTCTCTGTCACTTGACAAACATCTCATAAACATCCTGTTGCTGTATAAAGGCAACCATATAAAACATATCAGAAAGAAATCCCCATTATAAGATCTTAGCTGTCTTCTCTCTGTTTATTTGGAAAAATATGTGTGAATCTTCTGGCTGTTTTTTCTGAGATTCTTAATGTAATTGAATATACTACACTGTAGCATGAATAGATAAAGTTTGATTTTGCCACAATAGACTTTCTATTTCAGGTAACATA